TTCGTATAATTCGTACTGCATTTCACTTTTCTTTTTTCTATTTCACTCCTTCTTCAAAGAATCGTGTTATTGGTGCACGATATCTGTGTGCACCTTAATCACCCCATACCTCTTTGTGATCCGAGAAAGGAGAGGCCCATTGAGTTTTTTAAGACAGTCATTCTACTGTTTAGTTCTTAGTGAAGAGAGGAGAGAAAATTCACAGTCTAGAAATAGGGAGCTTTCAAAGCGCGAAATTCAAAGGATGGCTTTATCACGTATATTTAGTTCAAAATTGGTACAAATTGTCATGGAAGAGTCAAATTTAACTCTTTCACAACCGTGCGCATTGATTTCTATGCATAAGCGGCCTAATCGTGTATAGTGATTTCAATGTATATTCTTTACCTATCTCGCCTAACAGACTTTTTTTTTTACTAGACCTTTTATAGTCAAGCGACAGCCTATGTAAGAAAGACGTTGTACTCGACGTAGCTTAAGAAAAGTTCTATTCTGTACTGGGCTCACCGATCAGAAATTTGAGTAGTAAGGGACAACCACTTCATTCATAATTGTTAGTTAATAATATTTGTCGTACCGAACGTTTCACCATAGAAGTTTTGTATCGTGACCCGTAATATCATAAAGTAAACAGCATCATGCATAGTACTGATAGAGCAATCACTAATACACATAGTGCAATCGAGCAAAGTCTTCCCTACAATTTTGATATGTTCACAATCTCTCAATTCTTCTGTGTAGCGAAAAGATTGATATTTATGGTTGAAAAGTTGGCGAATTCACAATTGGGTGTGGTCTAGTAGGCTAGGCGGTCACGCGAAAGTGGCTGCGATCCTGTAAGGTTTGAGCAAAAATAGTAATACATCTGAAGTTTCGTAAGAGCTCGAGATTTTACTCCAGTCGCTCAACATTCTTCAATTTGGAACCGAAACGAATCGAGCTATGCAATCCATGTGTGTGCGGAAATAGTTGCACTTCTTCAATTCAGGCAATCATAACTCGCCTGATAGTGAACTTTACTGACTGAGATAAAATCACTCGTATCCACGAATCATTACGAATAGTTTTTACTATTCAACATTGTAGTATTCTGCATATTCTCCTTGAAGATCACGGATCATTTTTTAAACGTTTTTTTTCTGTCTAGATAGCTTATGTCGTACAAGGAAGCGATTTATTTGCGGAATACGCTGAAAGCCACATTGATATTTTTAGCTGTCGGACACTGAAATCCCTGGGAAGCTTGCGTTTGAAACAAATTCCAAGCTGAATTGAAATCTCAAAAAAATTATCAATAATTGTTAAGATGGAGCAAATTATGTTCTGTTAATACGTGAAATCCCAACTATTCTTTTGCATCGAGTATTGTATAGTCTAGTCTTATTGTGAAACTAATGAGCAGTTTCATCATGTGTCTTGAAAGTGGCATATCTCACCTCAGATTAGATTTTATCGGTTGAAATCATAACACAGTTTCAATGACATTTCCGTTTGGTAGCTCAGATTTCCAAGCCTGACCTTTAGACGGAGCAAGAAGTTTTCACAAAGAGTGTTAGTAATCGTTCGAAGGCCTAAATCTCAAGCTAGCGCTGCATGTAGCCGGTTTGCTGAAAGGACCCTTTTATAACGCTGTAAAATTCAAAATAAAATTATGTTTCACAGCACGTATTTTTCGCAGTTCAGATTTGCTTCTTTATACTATTAGTAATCGTCTAAAGAGATTGATTCACATGTGCGAGCAAATATTTTGGCCAATTCACGGGCGGTGGAATGGGAGCAATGGGGAGGAGGGAACCGGCGCAAACAGCGATCGATGGCGCCTAAGTGAAGTGTATTTGATTAGGAATTATTCGTCCGCTTTGGAAAAAAAATCTCCAGATTGAATATCTGCTTCTGATACAAGAAGATTTTATTTACACGTTCATATGCTTTTCAAGATTCCAACGAATTAATAGTTGAATTGCGCGACCGATGTGAAACATAATTTTATTTTGATTTTTTCAACGTAATAAAAAAGTCTTCAAAAAACCGGCCACACAAAGCGCTAGCTTGAGATCTAAGCTTTCGAATGATGGCTAACATTCTTTATGAAACTTCTTGTTCATTGTAAGGAATAGGCTTGAAAATCTGTGATACCAAGCGGAAAACAACCCAGCTTCATAGCGAGTCTGTTTAACTCTTACATTGTCGGTTACACAATCAGTGGCTAAAGGGATTTGTGCTCGTTTCCCTTTCAGCAATGCGGAGCGCAGCCGTTAGTTTCTAATGTTTTTCGCCAATTTGCTGAACGTACTTTTTCACTGTGATCGTTTCTCTTACGGCTTTGAAGAGTAGTCGACCGTTTGACCTAATTTATCATAAAGAATCTTTTATCGGCACAGGTCACGACACGATTAAGTGGTCAAGAAAGTTGCCGCTCAGGTCGTGGAGAAAATCGCTGACTATAGATTGCCGAGGTGATCTCGACGATTTTCCATCAGTTTTTACGGCGTCGATTTCTCGAATTTTTTTGACTTTCCCGTCTTGTTGAAGTAGGTTAAGATGCTTACATCAAGTTCTTTTGCGAGTTTCCGAACAGTTCTTCGCATACCAGCTTCACTGAAGCATAACAAAGCTGCGTCCACATCGTTGCTCATCTCAAGGAAATTCACCACAACAAGATTATTTGAAGCGACGCGTCGCCATCTCCATTTTTTACACTTCTTTGGCCTCAGAACTCATCAACGCGTTTCGCACGACATGAACCCCCTAGTGCCCATACGATTGAGTAACCCATTAAATTAATGAGCCAGCCCATCGAATCAACTGATCTATAGTTGCCTGGTAATCTTTTTCAGCCACGCATGTCAGTGGTCTGTCAAAGAGGGCTGATTTATAGAGCCCGATACACGTGTTTCGATCTTGTGATCTCGTCAGTCGGGCAGTTACCCTTTCTCGTCTTTTGCCGATCCTGTGTCGGTGCTCCAGTCCCCACACTAAGAGTTAGCGACTACGAACGTTTTACACTCAATGTCCAGTGAAATTCTCACCGAACATAGTGCGTTGTACACTAGATTGTTCTTGGCTAGTATTTTCAATATATCATATCTTTCGTTTCGAGTGTTTTCTTAGGACCACAGCTGAAATCCCAATATGCGTGGTATCATTTTTTGAGCCACGCATGTCAGTGGTCCGACTGACGAGATCGCAAGATCGAAACACGTGTATCGGGCTCTGTAAGTCAGCCCTCTTTAGTAGACCAGTGACATGCGTGGCTCAAAAAATGATTGTCAGGCATATTGAAAATTTGAGCTGTGGTCTTATGAAAACACTCGAAACGAGCGATCTATAGTTCTTTTTTCTCAAGTTTTTGATAACTGAACAATAGAACCACTGTTGTGCACCGTTTGACTTCCGCGAATTCAAACTGGGCGTGTCTAACTGACAAGGGCTCTCACTCCCCCAGCACTCTAACAGCATGGCAGTCACTGTCTGCCCCATTTCTCTTTGCCACTCGGCACCCGAACGTCGGGGAGAAGGTTGCTGGTTCGATCCCCTACCACAACACTTCGTAGTTTTTTTTTATGCTATCTTTTCGATGTTGATTAGTATTCCTGGAAATTGCAAGTGCTGAGGAAATCCTAATGGGTACCGCCTTTTTCGGGTCCCTTGGAGCATAATACTGAGATGGTGCGCGCAAATATCGCGCTCCAATCGAACGGGTAACGCGCCGTCCGAAGTGGGTCAAGGTTTCGCTCCGTCTACACTGCGGCCGTAACTCTGTTCGTGAAAGTAATTTTTTTCAAAGAATGATTATGTTCGCTTCTAAATTCCAAGCCTGTAAAACTCTTCAGGATTACGTTCATGCTGCAGTTCGATCCTGCACAATGAAAGTTCATAGAGTGAGCTGCGCATTGATATTCTATACCCGAACATTCCAGGGAAAATCTTAGAAAAAAGGGGTTTTTTTGGTTAGAAAAGGGACAAATAAAAACCGACCTCGTTCGCTGGAGAGGAACTTTCCATAGGAGTGTTAGTAACCATTCGAAAGCTGAGACTTCACGCTCCAAACCCTCGTGGCCGTTTTCGAAAATGGGCTTGTTTTGACGTTGTTACAGAGGGAAATTCCTTGCGTTACGGAAGCGCGTATTTCTCGCCGGGTGGCGCTCTTTTTTTGGACTATCAGTAATCATTCGATAGCGTAGTCGTTTCTGATTCCAACGCTGTGCTTATCTCTTGAAGAGATCGCTGCTCTGCAGCCTAGCAGGTAAAATAATTTGTTGCAGAAAAACGGTCTTTCCAGAGAATTATTGCAGCTGGTAGAACAAAGTTGATCTATAACATCGACTGTTTTTAGAAACTCGCAATTAACATTCAAAATAATTCCAAAAAAGAATGCTTAAAGCCTAAACGAGGTTTACTACTGTACACTATGCCATCACACTTACCACATACGCCTCCCTCCTTGCTATAATGCAGGCCTTGATGTGGGGCGGGGGTCACTGACGAGGAGGCCGAAACCTCCGAAACACCGGTGTTTGGCCTTGGCGTACCAACGTCGTTTAGGCTTTAAGCATTCTTTTTTGGAATTATCGCAGCATTGGAATCATCAGCCATTACGCTATTGAGTGATTACCAATAGTCCAAAAAAAGAGCTCTGTTCGGCGAGAAATATTCGCGTCGGCAACGCAAGAAATTTCCCTCTGTAACAACGTAAAAAAAAGGCCTTTTTGAAAGCTGGAGACATGGGACGGTAGCCTGAAGTCTCAGCTTTCGAATGGTTACCAACACTCCTACGAAAAGTTTCTGTCTAGCGGATGAGGTCGGCGTTTAATTTGCCCATTTATAACCGAAAATTACCCCGTTTTCTCCTAGGCATTTTCAGCCCCTTGATGACACCGCTTTTCGTCCATTCTTCACACTTTTAATATTATCGAACAGAATTCCTCTATTGTTCAACCGCTTCTGGCAGTGATATGATCAGATTAACCCAATGATGTAGAGTGCTGTGCAAAAACGTTTGCGTCAGCTGGGATTCGAACCCAGATCCCACTGTTTCTCGGAGCATGTCCTAAACCGTTGCACCATCGACGCTGGTACGTCAGCCGGGATTGTGATGATTCTACAATTATAATCATTGATGTAGAGTGATGTGCAAAACTTTTGCGTCAGTTGGGACTCGAACCCGCAGTTCACCCTATCCGAGGGTGCGGGCTCCAACCCGTTGTATTGCTGATGCCCGATTGGCCATCACTATTTCTACGCTGCAACGCATCTATCTGTCAGCAACCAATTGCCAACGCTGTGGCACGGGTAGTCACTATCGACATTGAACCCACTTAAGCTGACATTGGGTATCAAAAACAGGCATCGGTAGTGCAGCGGTTCGAGCACGCGCCCTCCGATCGGGTGAACTGCGGGTTCAAGTCCTACCTGGTGCAAAAGTCTTGCACATCACTCTTCATCAATGTGTATATCTATAGAACTTTTAGCACCCATTTTTTAAAATTTCTCTTAGAATTTGACCCGTCTTTACAGTTTTTTCTTTTCACTATGCGGATCTCGGTACTTGTGGTATTCAATTAGTTCTTCACTCTTCTTCATAAGCGTCGTAGAGTGCTGATCAAGCACCTCTTTTTGCAATCTCGAGAACAGCCTGGCTGCGTCGTTCGTTGTTAACCGCCGGAGAGTGTCGGGGGTGCGTGCATGCTAACCAATCGGCCACGCCACTTTCCTCCTTAGTTAGGTCTAATTAGGGTCCGGTCCAGTACGCATTCGATAGTTTGAACTCCGGCGATTCCAGCAGTATATTTTCCTTCTAATAAGGCCGTTTTCTTGCCTTATAGGCAGCAAAAATAAATTGAGTTTCACACTCCAAGCCTATTTCACGCGTATTTACCTTAATAAAGTTGAGAATTCTTCCTCTATTTTGTGTAAATTTTCATGTTTTCCATGTTAGAATTGTAGAAGAGGCTTGTAAAAGAACTATGACAATTTTCATAGACCTACTAATATCGTCTAAGAAAGAGCGATGGTTGTATCTTTGTTCCAAAATACATGTAGATGTAAGCAGCCTATCCAAATAATTGTGAAAAGTTGCAGGTATAGAAGTCTTTGGTTATCGAATTGTAAAAGTTAGTAAAACCCTCAATAGACCACGGAAGGCGATCGATATCGCTGCTATATTCTAATGTATTGTTTCGCTTCGTTACTCTCAAATTCTCTTCTGCATTAACCAATGGACCTCCGCGGACCCAAAGTGGGCTTGCACGTCAGCGTGCGAACGATTTCACCTCCTTTGCCCCGATTAGTTGTCGATTACAGTACTACTTTGCAAGACCGCACGCTAATCAGTCTAAAACTTGGTTGCTGGTCTTGCAGGGGAAAGTAGTGCCGTAGGCGGAGACTAATCGGTGCAGCGAAGGTGGAGTCGTTCCCACGCTGACGGACACGGCCAATTTGGGTCCACGGGAGTCAACTGGTTGAGCAGTAAGCGAGGGAGCGGTGACAGAAGCTCAGTGGTCAATGGATGCAAAGTTCAAGCGCAGGAGGCATATGTCTGAGTGTATAACCTGTCTTAGTTATTCGTTTTTACTGCTTCTTAGCTGTGATATGATGTCGTACCCGGGTTCAACTCCCGCCCGAGGTCGAATTCTTGCGTACCACTCAATGTTCCTACATAAGTTCCGCTGTGTGCATCGTGATAGAGTGCCGACTTTTTGCTGGTTACGATTTAGATTGAATTAGATGCGTATTTTCTTCGATGTGTAATTAGAGGACTCCACGTGATGGGTGTAAATTATAAGTTCTATGAGGCAAATATTTCCAGACTCCTGAGACCAATGACTAGCGGGTACGAAGGAAATCGATGTCTTCTTGACGATAGCCTGCTGGAATCCCGTGTCTCATCAGCATCTAATACGAGGTAATATCATTAGTTCTGGGAGAAGGAATTGAATGATGGATTGTGGAGGTACTCGCAGCTTTGCTCTATGTAGTTTTTGCTTTATGTTCCATATTTCGGTGAAGCTTTGCATCGTCACAGTGAACAAAGTATGAGTCGTTTCCTTTCTTATACCTTTCTATTATTCACCGGTCGTGGTTGAATTACTAATGATTAGATTTTATACATTTGTATTTACATGTATGTACATATGCGTACATGTACATTTCTATTACATACATGTATGTACATACGCACATATGTACATACATACGTAGGTATGCACGTATATGTACACATATACATGTACATACATACATGTACATATATATAAAGGATAAAGGATAAAACTCTCGGCGTTGATCAATCATTTAGGGATGCGCCATGCATTCGATTTTAATTTTTAACTTCGTTTGAGGTAATTGAATGCATATCTGGCCTTTACAATGACTCGCGGTGGCCTCCCGCTGAACCGAGTCAGTGCTGCTTATCCTCCCAAGCAAGTCTGAGACCTGTCTGGTACCAGTTTACCGACCCCGGAGGGATGGATGGCTTGGTGAGCCATGAGCGCGAGATCGAACCATTGACCTGACCTCGTGATACATATATATATACATATATATATATATACATGTTATATATATATATGTAAAGCAGTTAAATAGAAGAACTTGGTTGTTTTGTTTGGTAGCACAGAATTTCAAGCCTCTCCCCTTACAATCGACAAGAAGTATTCATAAAGAATGTTTGTATACATTTGAAGGCGTAACTATGGAATTGTCCGTATACGTGACCGGATTTCAAAAAAGACCCTTTTATAACGCTGGGAAATCCAAAACAAGATTATGTTTCACACGCGCAATGTTTCTCGTATGACAGAGCCATTTTTTTAGGCTATTATAAATTACTCAATAGCGCAAGCTTCAGAGATTTCAATGCTGTGGTTATTTTCTAAAAGGATCATTTCTCTGCAGTGCAGCGAGAAAAATAAGGTTGAATTCGCATGTGCGAGCAAGTGGTATTCACCAATTTACGGACCGCTTGCTGAGGCGGCACGGTGGGTTGACACGATGATCGATCGATTTTCGAGCATATGAATGTGCAGAGAGATTCTCGAAGTATTTGAATGTCTCCGAGTCACTGTTGGAAGCAATTAGGGTGTTCTGCCCTCGTGAATTCCATCAAAGTGATCATAATGATGATTGATTTATTCGAATTCATGTCAGGATAAAAGTATCTCAAGTTTTTTTTTTTTGTAGCAGAATCGTACGTTTTATCTGGAGGTTTTTTTCTCAAAGCGGCGAAACAATTCGTTTTGAATAATATAAATCGCACTAGCATAAGACCGGTCGAAAATTAATCGATAATTGCGCAACCCTCCTTCTCGCCTCACCCAGCGGCCCGTGAATTTGCCAAAGATCACTTGCTCGCACATGCAAATTCAATTTCGTTTTCCCTGCTTCACTGCGGAAAAACGTTACGTTGGAATTGGTGAACTTTACGCTATCGAATGACTACTAATAGTCTAAAGAAAGAGCTCTGTCTGGTGAGAGATAAGTGTGTGAAACATATTTTGACTTAAATTTTTCAGCGTTATAAGAGAGTTTTTTCAAAAAAACCGGCCAGGAATAGGGAGAGTTTGAGAATTATGCTTCCAAATTATTACTGTTATTCTTTGTGAAAACTTCTTTTCGAGCGTAAAGGAGAGGCTTGAAAATCTGTGCCACCAAACGGGAAAATGCCTTAGTTCTTTCATTTTACTGCTTTAGCATTTGTACGTTGTTATAATTACTCACGGTAAGCAATGATTCGACCTCAGGCGGGAGTCGAACCTCCGTTTCGCCATTGGTAAGGGGTCAACTCCCACGTGGGATCGAACTTTGCTTACAACTCAACATTCTTGGGCAACGATGAAGGGTTTTGTGAGACTGTAAATCGTCCTTTATCTAGACATTTAGATAAGATTGTGTTTTCGTATGCCAAGAGGTTTTAAATCCAATTTCCCGCAATAGATAGTCTTATCGGTGGTATTTTACAGTAATCAATTTCTGTGTCCAGTCGTCTAAGTCTTTTTGTTTTCTTGTTTCTCAAAAGCTCTCTCGTCAGAAACTCTCGTGAGCTGCATTGCCGATGCAGATCCATTTGTCTTGAGAAACTCTTTACCTTAAAATATCAGTCCTGAATACTGTGTTTTTGATATTTTGTTTGTCCAAAGCAACCACTCATCTTCCGGTCATGCGATTACTTTATATATGCTTTTGGGACGTTGTGGGTTGTTGGATTAAAGGGAAAAAGAATACGTGGAATGACTGGAATGCAAAGGCTGATATTGGTTGCCTCGAAAGCGACACGTAGAGTTATAACACGCACCGAGAACACGAAGGCTTCCTCGAAAAATGAATCCGATAAAATTTCTTTGCTTTGATTTCCCTGCTGTTTTTTCCTGACCTTTGCGTTAGTCCTACTGACATTCTTTTTCGGCCAGCACGACTCAAGAAGTCTTCACTCGTTCAGATGATCAGTCGTTATAACACAATTGATCAGATTTATGTGTTCGAACTCTTCACAGTTCTGTAACTTGTGTATCTCGTCTGTTTCTCAATATTACCACTTGTTTGTCTGGTCTGTTTTCTTGATATGTTCATATGTACCCTTCTGATCTGAAGCGCCTGTAGCGCTGTGGCTAGAGGTGTTCTGTGACACGCAAGTGGTCGACAAGTCAGTGCTCTGTGGTTCGACCTCGCGTACAAGGCTCCCCAAGACCTTCCATTTCGTTTGGCTCGCCGAGTTTGGTACCAGACTTGTCATGGAGGGTGGAAACAGTAACCTGATACATCGGCAGGCTACCGCGAGCCACTGCAAGGGCCATATAGGCGTTCAGTTACTCTTAACGACGCTAGATGAAAGCGAAATGCAAAGTACATACATCAGAGATTGATCACTGCCGAGAGCTTCGTCCTTTTTGGCTTTACTCTTCTGATCTTACTAAAAATCGTATCTGATTTTGTGACCGTACTTTCTTGTGAAAACGTGCCTCTTCAGTCTCCTTGGTCGTTTGGAAACCACCTTGATATCACTCAAACGTTTTCTTTAAGAGAAAAAGACGGATATGAGCTTTCCTGTTTATGGCTTGTTAAGTGGAATCTGTTTGCTTGAATGTTCTGTGCTTCTCTGTTTCTGTAATCGGATTATACACTCATCTTGGAGGGTTTTCATATTACCAATTCATAATATTTTCTTCAATTTGATTTTTTTACATGGTCTCGTCTTATTGCGCTTATGCCACTTTGTACTTTCCAGTTGGTGACATTGTAGATTATTGGCACTTCCTTGTAACTTGGCTTGCCATGTCTACTTTCCACTTTCCAGCCTGTCAAGGCTTGTTTTTAATTAGAAATTAGGGTGGAAGTCAATCAAATATTGATGGGATTCTTACTTTTACTCACGTTTAGCAGTGTGCTGATCTCACAAATATATATTCAAAAGTGTTCAGTGATC